CAAGCTATATATGTGACTACCAATTGCAGAAGCCCAAGCACATGATTATGTCCTACCGTCGATGGTCAAATGGAAGAGGAGAGATTATGAGAAAAGCCAAAGATGGATCCTACGAAGCCATGATAAATAACCCTAGCGACATCAAAAGGATTACACGGTGGCTCCTAAATCATGGTTTGATAGAGCAGACCCAGATGACAAAAGCGATCGAAATGCTGCTGAGGGAAAGAAACAGGTCATGAAATTCTATGGGTCGATAGAGATGATGTAATTGGTTTACACGGAGGGCACTATAGTGTAACTGCGATTTCTGAAAGATACACTAGAAAAATATAGGCAATGAACAGAAAAGTTTAGGGGTTTTTCACCGAAAGTTTCCCTGCTATGTAAATTAGAAAGTAAATTAGAAAGTAAATTAGAAAGTAAGATAGACACCTACATGGGCCCACAGGAGTTCTTTGGGATGGACGTGAGAGGGATCAGGACAAGTTTACAAGATGATGCAAAGGAAGGATATAACCTTGGAGGCAGTGAAATTCCGAATTTTGGCAAGCAGTTTTACGAATTGAGCTTTGTGCGCGCCAAGACTTCGCTTGTGAAAGTGCAGCTGACACTATAAAAACAAGCAAACGATGGAAGGTGTCGTGGTCCGCCTCCTGGTGGTGTTCTCTGGTATGGTTTGAGTAGCCTGGGCACCTACTCCACTTGGTAAGGAGACACCTTAGATCACATTTCGCGCGGTGAAAAGTTGATGGATGACGGAGGCATGTCTGGATAACTCAGGGTTTTTGAGACGTTCCCCTGGGTGGGTATCCACGGATGAGGGTTGACTTGGGGTGAAGAAAAAGCCGCCATAACTTGGCAGTGGTACTTTCGAATGAAATCTGAGGCATGAGTGCTCTTCCTTTACGTTGAATCATCTATTCTGTACTTTTCTTTGATATTGTGTCATAGCTAGATAGCTGCATCCGCAATTAAAATCTGATGCAAACCAAAAAAAAGGGCCCATAGGGCGCCAAATCGGATTACATGAAATCAAATTCAAAAGTATTAGGCAATTAGCACCCTCCGCACTACTTTTAGAGCTTGAGCACGAGTGGGGCTGACCTGAATCAGGCTAACTATGGTAAAGGTACAATAAACCTCGTCACAACTAAATGTCCGAAACACCTCAGATTTCACAAATAAGTGGAAATGTACCAAGTCCAACCATCTGGAAAGCACGCTGTAATTACGCCGTGGCGGAAATTTCTCCACTACCTGGGCCACCACGCACCCTAGCCCTTGACATCTTCATTGACTCCGAAATATAAATTTTATCCGAGATCCTAGAGTTGCCTGACCTTGCACCTTCTCATCTTACCTGTGACAGAAACAGGTTATGTGATGAATAAATTGATTTATTAAACTATATGAGGAGAGAAAAGAACTCTAACTACTACCAACGGGCTTTTATAAGAATTGTTGAGATTTATGCGACAGTGGAGTTAAGAGTATACTACATACCAGCTATATATTCAGCTGCGTATGGATACTTGCTCTCGAAATCAGATTCCTTAAAATATAAATATATATATGATTTATTGTGTATATTACAACTGCAAAGTTTGTGCTTATTTTCTTGTTCTTACTATGATCTACACACTTTGATTTTTGATTTTGATTGAATTTAACGTCGTGCCTATCTACAGCTCGTGACTACTGTCACGTACTGGACGGCCCAGTCCCTACAGAACTACCCGACGCTCTAGCGCGCACTACAGCACCTAAAAATTACAAAAGAGTCCGACCAGCTGTCCGCCACTCTGCTTTCCAATTTAAATGTAGTAAACTTCCCTCTACCAGGAACTTTACTTTTTTTTCTTACGAGTAGTTTTAAATTACAACCGCAGAACAAGAAAAGAAGAATAAATCCTTCAATTCAACATTAGCCCCACGCTAGATCGCAAATGGAAATATCTGATGGGCTCTTTGGATTTCGTCGAAGAACTTCGTCAGCTCAACCCATTTTCTGAAGGCGAGGGCACCTTCAGGCGTGCCAACAGAGGCCCGGGGTTTTCTGCTTTCTTCGGTTCCTATTTCGGACCCTCATAGTGACTCCTCACGGGAAATCAGCGGAGCAAACCTAGATGCCGAGCCTATTGTTAGAACAGGAGCTGGAATCGTGGTGCACGAGGGTTGTGTGTAAGGAGACCCAGCGGGGGGTTCCGGAGGGGGAGGCGGAGGGTTAAGAGCCAGCCAGGACTTGTGTCCTTCCTTGCGCATTATCCGCATTCTCTCTTTGTCTGGGCGAACAAATACTCCGTTAGCTCGGAAGGGTCTTGCGGGGCATCCAGTGGAAGAGGCAACGTGCGGGCCAGCACAATTAAGACACTTTATCGGTGTCATACATGGGCCGTTGTGTGAGTCTGAAGCACAAAGTCCGCAACGAGCTCTCCTGGTGCAGGCATTGACGTTGTGGAATCCATGGCAGCGCTGACAGACTTGGAGGCGTGGGCGATTGTCAGCCGGTCGAATTTTGGCGGACCGAGCAAACAGGCGGACGCTGGATGGGAGTTTATCTGCAGCTGGCTTTGCAACTACCAGTCGGAGAGTGCCTTCCCATTCTGGGGATGCCAGAGAGTTACGTGTCCAGCTGATAGAAAAATTGATTTTGTATCAATTTTTGCTGCTGCAAGTTCTTCCCGGATGTCTGCAACGGAAAGGGCTTCGGGAGATCCGGAAGCATTGTACTCATATTTAGGGACTGGGCTAAGGAGAAAGTTCCCTCGTTTTTCCTGTCTTTCGATAGGCACAACTCCTGTAGCGGGCTGTAGAGCAAGGGCTGCTTGCATGAGTTCGGAGGCCTGATCGGATGAGGGGGCCACGAGAGCTATCCCAGACGGGACCGACCTGATGTCCTTTATTAGTTCCGGTTTTTCGAGAAAGCTTCTCAGCTTTGTACGGACAAGAAGAGAATCTTGGAATCTCAGAGGGTGGTCGGGCGCTAGGCGTATCATAACTCTAGAGTCCGGCATGTGTTTTTTCTTTGAACTGGTAACCCATGGGCGTAGCCTTTGGAGGGGGTACAGGTACGGTCAAGTTCTTCTTCGTAGCATTTGCGTAAGTAGAACTTACGGGTGGTTCTAGTTGTGGGGCTAGCTGTGCGCTAATTTTTACGTTTGCAGTAGTTTGAGACTGCTATTATCTACACACTTCACAATTACGGAAATTGTGGAATACTAAGCGAAACACGTGATACAATTACAGATTTATCGCATGACTTTCAACAATGTACATAAGACTCGTCTTTGTAGGGAGCGAGTCGCGCAAACTCTGGGACCGGCTCTTGCAGCATCTAATGATTGTCAAGAGTCTCGAATGTAGCTTCCAATGTCTGCATCCAAGTTATTTAAATTGCTCTATAAGTCATCGTACAAGAAAAAAATCACCGTCTATTTCGATGGCTACCCGTTGTGGCCATAAGTTAAATGGTATCATGGCCAGGTAGAGTGCTGTCTGAATGTTTCTAAGTTTCAAGAATACGTCGTTTGACGCTATGGATTGTTTCCATTCTGGCTTCAAAACAACTTTGTTTCTGTCACTGCTGCTACCTGACCCTGAGTAAAAGATTTCTGATTCCAATTTTGCTTCTGGCCAGATATCTCTGACATATTGTTCCTGGATTTTCATATTTTATTGTAACGGGGCAATCGTTCTAAAAAGGTTAATAAGACCATCAGAAAGTCTGGCTTGGTCGGAGAGATTCTGTTGACTTGGTGAATTATATGTGTTAGATGCGTCTTTAGAAGTCGTAGGTTGTACCTTATTTGTTGGGTCTCTTTCGACGTTTTTCTCCTCAATGGGTTCTAGATTTTGGATTTGCTTGTCGCATGCATTCTTAACCTTTTATTTTTCCGTTACTTAGTTCGATAGTTTTGCAAACTCTTTCATCATCAGTTCGAATCTCAAATCTAACTTTCTTTCCATTCTTTCAAAACGATTGTCGTAAGCTACAAACCTTTCCTCGGTTGCATTCTGTAAGGCTTTGACAGTCCGATAACTCGTAGTTCCTAACTCTTTCTGGGTAACTTTTTCTTCTTCAGAAAAAATTGATTCTGGAAAATCGCCAGGTGCGCACATCTTGATGGTTACAATTGATGTTTTTTATTTGGAGCGGTTGCTATATAAAAATAATTAATTTTGTGGATACTGATGGGTGATGTGGAGACGGTTATCGCTCAGGACTCACGACATCAGATTCACGGGGTGATTAATATCGAAGTCTAAATTAAGCAAAAGGTTGTCTAGCCTTGCCCTTATCGACTAATATGCTCTTTATATACATCCTTTGCTAACGCCCTAAGCGGCGATTCGGTTTTTCCAAACAAGTGGTAAGACAACGCTTATACCTCGTCTCCAGCTTCCGATTATCATCGCTTCAGGATCCTCACAGACCCGGACGAAATTCCACTGCGCCACCTAACAAGCCAAGTGTACAAGAAAGATTATTTAATTACACCTAATATGTAATGACGCGCTGATAGTTCTCGATGCCAAATTCTGTCTCCGAGATGCCGGAAACGAACCTCTTCCAAAATTGCATTCAAAACTAGTATCGTTTTTAATTTTATCCTGATCACTCTGCAGCTCATCTCAAAGAGATAGCTCCCAGATTTGCCTTTTCCTTCTGGTATTACTACCGGCGCGGCCGCGTAGTTGGAGGCCACCTAGGGCTAGAGATTGAGTTGACGAGAGGTGTTGTCATTGTAACGAAAATGTACTAGGTCTTACAGGGAGACTTTATGAGTCTTTGGTTGGAATCAATCTCGTTGACAATGAAATATTGACGTGGTAGGGATATCTGAATTATTGCCTCGTGGACCGACTCCTTCAGTACTGCACAATTGAACTTCATTCAATTCTAGAAGTATATTTTCGTTCTAAGCTTGCAGAACTCACCGTGGATAGGCGTTCAGCCTTTATCCTCCATCGGAACCCTGCGCTTAAACCTCCTAGGAATGGTCAGTACGACGACATTCATCAGGAGTATCAGATCAGCCATGATTTTACGACTTTATTACGTGAAAGACGTATCCATCAAGACAAAGATACTCGGGGCCATTCCAAATTCATACATCAGGCCACTTCAATCTAGACTTCATGCTATCAGCAATCGGCATATTTCTAGCACCCCACAGTACTCTTCACGCCAGCTATGGGGTCGAACTATTCCCTACGATCCCATAGAGGCCCGAAAAGCCAAACCTCTCACGACCTGGAATCAAATTTATAGCGTTCTTACGCGTAGGACAGCAAAGTGGTTTTACTCTGTCGCAACTTTGGGGATTGTAATATTTTACATTACACATCTAGAGACCGTACCAGCTTCTGGCAGGACAAGATTTATGTTTTTTACAGCGAAAGATGCAGAAGAAGAGGGCAAACGTATTTATCAAACAATTATGCGGGAATCAAAAAATGCCATTTTACTACCCTCAGATGCAAGGACGAGGCAAGTTAACCGAGTTCTACGAAGGCTTATCACGGCAAATAGTTTAGAACATATAGATTGGGAAGTCAATGTCATACTTTCGAACGGTGAGTTCCCAGTTTTAAGTCTTTATGATCATTAAGTTGACTCTTATAAGAAAAAAATGCATTCGTGATTCCGGGAGGCAAGGTATTTATCATGAGTGGTATATTGCCAATAGCACAGACTGATGCTGGTCTTGCTTCAGTCCTAAGCCACGAGATAGCACACGGAATAGCAAATCACCAAGCTGAACGTATGAGTAGCTCTTTTTTAATTATATGGCCTCTACGTATAGCTCTCTTCTTTTGCTTCGATATTTGGACTGGCGGAATCTTAGGCAATTTACTACTTGAATACGGAGTAAATAGACCCGCCTCGAGGACACAGGAGAGAGAAGCCGATTATATAGGTTTGATGATGATGGCAAATGCATGTTACGATCCCAGTGCAGCAGTTGTATTTTGGAAACGAATAGAGCAGCTAGAAACGGCGCATGGAAAGCTCGATCTTACCTGGCTATCCACCCATCCTTCTGTGGGGAAGATCTACTGAATTGAATAGCGAATACTGACAAGTTCTAGACAAATTCTCGAGCCGAACTGATAAAAAAATGGTTGCCAAGAGCTGAGGCTGTAAGAGAAAAGAATAATTGTGCGACTACAAATCGTTATTATGAAGGATTCAGGCCTTTATTCCAACCCATGACGTATTATTCAAGATAAGATAGGTGCTAAAGTATTTGTGGCGAAATTTTGCGTATGAAGCTTAAACATATGAAGTCTCAAAACTTTATAGAGAAATATACGTTGCTTAAGACGCCTAATAGACAATATCTATTCGATTTGGAAATTAATTATGTTTTAGGGGGTACACAAGCATTTCTAAAATGTAACGATGGATCAAAATTTAACAAAAGTGATCAAAAAGAATTTATCGACAGTTAAGAAGTGGTTGCCTGAGGAATCCAAGTTGTAAACATCAAATCAACTTCTTAACCTATCAACCAAAACTTCGTTCAAAATGAATACTGGCCTCTCAGCATGGAAAAATACCCTGGACATGCCGAAAAATCAATTCAATTCTTGATTAAAGCATTACAATAGATGAAAAGTTGAACAAAATTTAATGGAGCTTTTTAACAATGATTTGGAATCGTGAATCTTAATTTCACTTCTAACTTGCCTACCTTCTTTGATTCAGTTCACTTTGTGAATACTTGGCGAATGTAGGAGCTAGAATGGTTAGAATTATCGAATTTGATACATCGCGAAAGTTGATGATGGCAAATAAATCTGAAGGTGGAGGAGTGTAGACTGCTCCAAATTATAAGTATATAGAGACCCTGGAAAACTTGTTCATGAGGATTAGGCTAATAAATCTAGGTTAAGTAGATGATGAATAAACCATCATGAAATTAATGAAGTTTATAAGGTTTTTAAAAATAACAAAAATTACTACGTACAAATCACAGAAGTGAAGTAATTAGACTGAGTAGATGATGGAACTGAAGAGATTGGTAATAAAGTGTAACGCGGTTTCAGCTCGAAAATCGAATATGGCAATGATATCAGAGGTGTCTATTCAAGAAAAATCCGCCTCATTAATAGTACGGCCCGTGGTGATGTAAAAGTCCGAAGCTTACAGTCACTGCACGCAAAAAATGCTTTAAAATAATTAATATTTTTAATGGAAGAAATTATTTCAGTGGAACTGAGCCGATGTGAAGTATGTGCTCAACACACGTTACCAAAATTTCAGAGATCGTTTTTGATTCACAACTTCTGCCCACCATCAGCTAAAATTATGCGAATAGCATATTCGGTTTCGCCTTCTATTCAGATCCCATGTGATATAATTTTCGACAGTCACATCCTCAAAACCGACCATATATTGATAAAAACCCTGATTTCAGCCATGCCAAAGCTCGACGCTTGACGTGTCATCAGCTAAACAACCACTAAGTCATTTGATTAAAACTTTATTCATTCTTTCCTCCAAAAAAGAACCCCCATAAATTAGAAAAAGAAATCTTTCAGAAAATTTAAATAAAATTTAAAAGAAAATATAACAAAAGAAAATTGATAAATGGAAAGCTACAAACTTATATAACAACAAGAGAACAGGCAGACTTATGATGAACTACAGAGACTCAACTATCCCAATCCACCAAAACTTTAGCAGGGCCCAGAGCAGTATTGCCACACAGATAAGAAGCGAGCACATTGGGCTCAATGCTTGCTTATACAGAAGTAACGTGCCAGGAGTAGGAAAACCATGCTAAAAATGTGGTTATCCGTCCCAAAATGTAAAGCACATGGTGATGTCCTGTCCAAGGTAGGCAAAGGGAAGAGGTGAGCTGCTACGAAAATCGACAACGCGATCTTTCGAAGCTATGGTAAATTACGTCAAAGATATGACTAGAATTCCACAGTGGATTCAAAAGGAAGGATGGCTAGAGCAGTTTCGGATGACCAGGGAAATCGAGGCGTTAATCAGGCGAAGAGAGGAAAATGGATACACAGGACAAGGACGGAATCCACACTAGCAACAATAGTGTGAGTGCACTTCCTAGAGGTAAGACTATAATTGTGCAGAGTCTAATCAGACAGCTAAGGGGGTTTTTACTGCAAGGTTTCCTCTTATGTAAATATTAGAGTTCGTAGACACCTGCATGGGCCCATAGGGTGTGCGTTCGTGTGTAGGGGTTGCGAAGTGGCTTACGGTGACTTGGAACTCAAAGCACGCCTGTAATAATTATCACGGAATGCCTGTGGAGTTCGTTAAGTCAGATGTAAGTTGTTTGTTCATAATCCTAATAGGAAGCTCCTAATGTTACAAGCAAGCTAATACATGATTACATAATAAGTTCACACTATTCTTCTCAACGCAATATCCCGTGACCTGGACACACAAAGGCGCTTAATCGGGCTAAACGAATTCAAATTCAAATTTAAAAATGATGACCCATATACAGTCAAACCCCTGTTAAAACGATGTAATCGGGGCCGTGAAAAATATCGTCTTAAAAGGATATCATTATCTAATCCAGCTATCTAGGCTACTTTGTACTTCTAATGCCTCTTTTATATTCCCAATTGCTGTCTTTCATCGCTCTAATACTCTCAAGGTTAGGCAAGTTTCCAGCTCGCTGTCGTAGCGCACTAGTACTTGGAGCTTCGATGAGTTTCGCAAAGGTCTTGCTCAAGGATTCGGAGACAATAGACTGGCTTAATGGATGGCCGTACTCAGCTAAGAACCAATAAAAAACTGTTTTTGTGTTGGTTTTGGGACCTGTCGGTGCGCCCATCGTCGCAGAGCACGTCGTTGCTCCACAGAAATTCCCTTTTTTGGCGGCATTATTAGCACCAAGCTAGCAAAAAAACCCTGGTTAAGACAATATTCAGAGGTTTAAGAACGATAATCGTGTAGTCGGTAAATGTATGGGAACGAAGTCCGTTCCGTAAAAATATCGTCCTAACAGGGGTCTGACTACACCTTTCTTTTAAGGTTGAAAACTATCCCCATTTATTTCGACTTACACGAAATATCATTAGGAGGGCAAGACTGAACACCTGTGCGCGGTGTCCTCTACGAACCTTGGAGTGAAATATTCTCCCAGAGCCAAGTTCAGTCAAATTTCGCATTATCGAACAAGTTGGCCCACGAGGCAAAATTTCAAATTACTCCACCACGTCAAATCTTCACTCCCAAAGAGTCCGATTCTCAACTGAGCTTCATCAAGTCTACAAGTACGACCTAGTACATCCTCGTTTCAATGACCACACCTCTCGTCGACTTTCTCTGGCCTCAGTTGATCACCAAATACACGCCCACGCCGATATTTATACCCGACGGAGGAAGTAAAGCGTGGAGCACAAATCTGGGAGATAGCTCTTTGGGATGGACGTGAGAGGGATCAGGACAAGTTTACAAGATGATGCAAAAGAGGGATACAATCTCGACGGGCGTGAAATTTCGAATTTTGGCAAGGAGTTTTTACGAATTGAGCTTTGTGCGCGCCAAGACTTCGCTTGTGAAAGTGCAGCTGACACTATAAAAACAAGCAAACGATGGAAGGTGTCGTGGTCCGCCTCCTGGTGGTGTTCTCTGGTATGGTTTGAGTAGCCTGGGCACCTACTCCACTTGGTAAGGAGACACCTTAGATCACATTTCGCGCGGTGAAAAGTTGATGGATGACGGAGGCATGTCTGGATAACTCAGGGTTTTTGAGAAGTTCCCCTGGGTGGGTATCCACGGATGAGGGTTGACTTGGGGTGAAGAAAAAGCCGCCATAACTTGGCAGTGGTACTTTCGAATGAAATCTGAGGCATGAGTGCTCTTCCTTTACGTTGAATCATCTATTCTGTACTTTTCTTTGATATTGTGTCATAGCTAGATAGCTGCATACGCAACTAGAATCTGATGCAAAAAAAAAATATCATTAGTTAGTATCCTTGTTCGCATAGCTAGTGGAAAGACTAGGCATGGGCCTACATGAAGGCCAAACCAGTCAAGTCCACATTAACAGATTTGTCAACCCAGTCACTTTCACCCACAAACCTTATCTACCCACAACCAACTGTATTCGTGGATAAAATGGTCTGACAATGCAGAGTAAGCGATTGCACCGGCAGCGTTGGGATGTGAAGAATCGTCTTTGCGGCTTACTGCTTAGAAGTCCGGCAGCGCATGGTTTTCTTTATTTAGCCGCATGAGTTAAATGATTAGTCGAGATTCATCAGCTGCTAGAATTATGTGACTTACTTTGACACGATCGAGTTCAACAAAAGTTATTGACCTACGCAGGGATCGAACCTGCAATCTCTTGATTCGTAGTCAAGCGCCTTGCCATTGGGCCAGCAGGCCTAATTGCTATCTCGTGAATAATATAAATTAATAATGTATTCAAAGTTGTTATCAGCTGAGCCAAATTTTCGCTCAAAGGTATAAGCCCGCATTTTAGTCTACCAAGCCGATATTTTGGACTTTACAGGTCACTTTCAAGCCTCAAAGTTTCTACATGAACAGCACGTCTTTTGTCAGTCTATCACAACTATCAAATAGCTCATCCATCTAGTACTACCTGATGATGGCGACTTTTCCTAATATCTCTAGTGACTTCATGTTACGGCGTGCGCTAGTGATACTGAAGATCTCCTTTTGATGAAGGTACTGTAGTAATAATTATGATTTTAATAGCTAACGGAGGACACTTTGAGATTATCAGATTGAGAATATAGGATTATAATATTATAAGATTGTGTCACGGGATCTAGTGCAAAAACTCCTGCTGTTCACTATAGGCAGCCCGGGGGACTATTCTCAACACCCGTCAGTAGTGTCCCCTACGAACCTCCAGTTCTCACTGTAGAGTCTGCAGAGCCGAGATTGAGTAATACCTTTTCAACTTTGAGATGAGTTATTCCCCCCCCTCAAAGATACGCTTCCGATAATATATAAGACGACCAAGACAACGTTAATAATGATGGGAACGAGGAAAGATAATGCGGTACCAAACGCTACAAAGGTAGTCAGAGAAGCCCTCGTTATATCACAACATGTGCTACCCACCGGCGGGCAAACCAAAAGCCCACAAAAGCAGAGTAAAAGACCCTTCCGCTCTCAAGAAAAGTAGATTTCGACTCATCAATAGTATCGTCCCTACTAATCTATACCTCCGAATCTACTAGCCAGGAGGGCATCTGGAATTCATGAGTTACCC